ATATATATATATATATATATATATATATATATATATATATATATATATATATATATATATATATATATATATATATATATATATATTTTCAGATCTTATTTTTGTTTTTAAATTTTATTAAAATTCTAAATATCTTCCCAACATTAATTTTTTCCATTAAAAAGCAAGTTTAAAGTTTAAATACAGAAAATTGGAAGAGGAAAAAAAAAAAAAATTGTAAAACGTAAATACTTTATTGAGATAAAAAAATAAATGATCAAAATAACTATACAAGTTGCAATTAAAAAGAGACCCAAAATGTTATAGGACTAGATTAAGAGTCCCCAAGGATGCTAATCTGGATGTGGTTGGAACGCATCCAAAGAGCTTTCACTTCCCAAATTTGAATTAATGCATTTTAAAGCGGAAAAAAAGGCTTTGATATGGAACCGGGTGGGTCTAAGAGAAAGTGGGTCATATTCGAAAGTCTTTTAATTTCCTAAAAATACAATTTTACATTTATAATTTAAGTTTTACATTTTTTTTAAAATATATTTTTAATTCCATTATAAAACCTACAACAGTTTTATTAGAAACAATGCAAAGCCGAACCCAAAGCAAGACAATTTGGTTAAGAGACCTAAAGGCAATTACTTCATTTGTCTATCCCTGGGAGCTGGAAACAAAACGGTTGAAGAATCCGGGCCTTTACTTCTCTTAGGTTACCAGCAAGGACAAAGTCAAAGATACATTTTTAATTTTTTTTTTTAAATTTTATTTGTTTTGCAGTTGCAAACTTGCAACTCATCACATCTGTTGATTCTTGACGACTCTCACTAATCCAGACCGTCCATTGGAACAGCGAAAGGTTTTCTTATGGCTACACGTGCATTTCATCTTTAGTTGCCTTTTTTCATCCTCTGGTTCCATGCATGGAATGGAATTCTTCTCCAAACTATTCAACAAAATTTAGTGGGGAGAGAAAGGGAGATGGACTGAGAAGACAAGAGGCAGGAAGAGCGATGCTGCAGTTCTGATTACTACTCTGCTAACAAGTTTGTTCCAAGTTTTTTTTTTTTTTTTTTTTTTTTTTTTTCTTTCTTTCTTCTT